TATATATATATATATATATATATATATATATATATATATATATATATATATATAAAACTTGTGTCAACTTAAGTGGATAGCAAAAAGTTATCCACCAAACTTTTTAGCCATTGATGTTGCGTAGGGATCCGTGAAAGATATGAAGAGGTTTTTTATATATATAAATGAGTGGGTAAAAAGTTTGGTGAACATCTACTTAAGTTTACATAAGATCAACTATATATAAGAAATATGGAGAAACTTGGTACTAAGTTTCTCCATTGAACTTGGTAGTAAGGTGGCCAAATCACCCCCTACATCACACCTTAAAAATAGAGCCTTTTTTTAAAAGTAGGTGAATAGTGATTGAGGCTCTCTTTTTAAGGTGCAATGTAGGGTGGTGATTTGGCCACCTCACTACCAAGTTCAATAGAGAAATTTGGTACCAAGTTTCTCCATATTTCTCTTTAGTCCATAAAGTCCTCAAGCATAAGCTAGCTAGCAACGTAGAGACGAGGTGACCAATGTTTTGGGATTGTATTCATTAGATATCTCCACTTCATTATTAGAAACGCCCAAACTCATTCCAGCTTGCGCTGCAGAAACGCGCGCGGCTCGTGAGAAGACAAGTTAACTGCTAACGGATGCATGCAAAGAGAACGAAGTTTGCGTGACAATTATGCTGGTGAGTTTCTTTTGTTTTGTTGGAAATTTTGTACTATGTGATTCGTTTGCCACTATGAGACATTACTTATTTAGATTGTTTAAATTATTATATGCTCCGTATACGTTACAGAGAATTTTAAGGAAAAACGAGAGTCACATGTACACAAGTGCGACAGAGGGTAAAAAAAGAAACGCCCGTCATGTGACTGGACTAGTAGCGCACGGTATCCTCGTTAGCTCTGCGCCAGAGCAGAGCCTTATATATAGGGGTCGTGCTAATTAACGCCTACTACCTCCATAAGATACATATTATCTCTAATATAATATATTCAAATTTCTGTAGGAAAATTTATTCATATTTTAAACACTAGATTTTCAGCTCGCACTAATGGACTCAGCAAACAATATGGGTTCTTCTTCCTCTCCTCCTTCAGGCTTGAGGTCCAAGGGCCAAAAGAGGAAATCCACCGCCACAGATGATAGTATCGCAGTGGAGAGGCCTCATGAGAACGAGCCGGGGTTCTTCAATACAGAGTTGGACCTCAGCTTATCTTTGGGCCCTCCCAAGGCCCACACAAACATAGCCCAGAGCACTGTTGACCCTGGGAATAATGATGTTCGGGCCCAGGCCCAAAATCCTGCTCCGCGAGCTCCAGCGGTCAGGATTTGCCTGGAGTGTGGGACCACGAACACCACAGAATGGAGAAGAGGGCCCAGGGGCATGAAGGTAAATAATATTAGCATCTGTTACGAAGATCAAATTATTTCAATTTGATCATATATATAGTTTTTTTTGGGTGGGGTGGGGAGTACGCTTACGAAATCTGACATTGATCATTTGTTGTTTTCCTTTTCTCCCCATTGTTAGCAGACTTTATGTAATGCCTGCGGACTGCGTTACTGGAGCCAGGAAAAGCTTGTCAGCACGTTGTTTAGTTCGAAGCATCCATAGTTTGAAGTACAATTCAATAAATCGCAAAGTGTTGTAAAGTGTCATGTTAATTGAAAAAAGCTTCTTCATAGCTTCATGTTCAATCATCATTGTTTGTTATTATTTTTAAACATTTCTATCACAACATTTGTCATTAATGAATAAATAAGCAATCTTCAGTCATTTATTTTGATCAGATTTCTTAATTGCATGAGTCAATAGTTTCGCCGTATGGAACACATAAAAACGCTTAAAACACTCTAAACTCTAGTTTTCTTATATTCTATGCAAGTACGGAATAGTATTATAGATTGGGTGAAGTTTGCTGGAGGTCTTGCAGAATTCATCTTCTGTGATGGTGCATTCCAACATGTTGAGAGGTTTTTGTTGCGAGCAAATGTTCAAGAAACGGGTATTTGTACTTCGGTTTATATGTATGGTATGACAAGAAAGGAATTGGAGAGCGATTTTATGAAAATCCGGATATAGTGAAGCTCTTTTTAAGGATATTAAGAGCTTCTTCTTAGTATTGCTCTTAGTAGTTGTTTATTTGAAGATATCAAAGAATGGATTGGCACCATGTGATTTTTCCTTTGTTTTTCTAAGCATAGCACTGTTTTGTTCAGTTTAAGTGTTAGCCTGAGTTGTTAGAATGAAGTTCCCACCATATCTCTTATTTTTAATAATAACAAACTCTCTTATTATAAAAGAATGGACCCCTCTTTTATAATCACTACTTAATTTAATGCTACTGGCTATGTCTTAATTTAATGCTACTGGCTATGTCATCCGTTTCTAGTTTGTTGAGTCTTTATTTCTTTAGGGTTTCTTTGTATTTGTACAAAGAGTTCATCCATTAGATTTTGGTAGCAGGGAGTACAATAATCATATGGAATTTAGTGATCACATGTGAGAGTGTGGAAATGAATTGATCTCATCTGTGTAATATGTAATCTAGTCTAATTAATAAAGATTTATCTGTTGCTGCTTATGAACGTTGGGGTTTCTTTGTATCACATAAAATCCTCGTGTTTAGGATAGTCATTTTTTTCTGTAACTGTACATTTTGTATTATCGTTTCGTAATCTTGTTACAATATACGTTTCCGGTATATCCGCAATATATAGTATGGTCCTCAATGCCTTTTCATTACACGAAAATTGCCCTCATCACTCTGTCTCTTTCTTGTTAATTCTGGTAACGGAACTCTAACAATACAAGAATCTCGTTCTTATTTCATGTTTCTTTCTTTCATTTTGCTAAGAACGTGAGAATAACATGTCGTTTACATTTCTTTTACGACTCTTTAAGAATAGGAGAATTATCTTTTTGACTGCCTTGACTACTATATTATGACCCTCCCCTTTTTTTTCTTCATAATCATGTTCCTGTAGAAAATGACGAAGGATTTGAGAAAATCGTGCAAACACACGAGTATAGGAAATCCCTCGGGTCGGTCGACTGACGACATAGGCTCGGTCGATCGACGGCATAGGCCCGGTCGAGTGACAGATTGCCGAATTACAGGATTTGAAACCTGTCTCTGGTCGGTCAACCGAACGGGTATGGCCGGTCGACTGAACGGGTATGACCGATCGACCGAATGGGTATGGCCGATCGACCAAAAACGTGCATATTACAGGGTGAGAAATTGAGCTTTTGGCCGGTCGACCGGTGGCACATGTGCGGTCGACCGAAAGCGGTTATGGGCCTGTTTTGTTTTCCTGGTTGGTTTTGAATTGGGTGTTTAATATAAATACAAACACATTTTTAGGGTTTCTAAAGGAGAGGATTATCATTGTTTTGAGTACTTTGAGAGGGAGATATTGTGAGAGAGTTGAGATATTTAGTTAGGGTTATATTTGAGTGATTTTGTGAGTTGCAACCCGTTGTATTGCTCCTTCATATAGTGAAATCTCCCATCCTCTCCCCGTGGACATAGGCAATTGTCGAACCATGTAAATCTCTATATTTGGTTTGATTTATACCATATTTTGGTGAATTGCACTCGTATTTGGTTTAGTTCTCTTCTCTCATTACTTACCAACTAGTTTAGTTGTCGAGCACGCTTCCGCATGGCACGCAACAATTGGTATCAGAGCTTAGGGTTTTAGATCTAGAGTTCCACATTAGGTGGATGAAGATTTATTGTTTGAAGCTTGGTTCTTAGAGTTCTAGACTTTGGTGGAGATAGCGTTGTGGAGTTGCCGTTGGGATCTCACTTTCCTTGTGTCGTTAGGAGATCGTGTTGGAATCCTATCTAGGATTTAGTTAGGTAATTTCTCAATTCTATCAAAGTTTGAATCTTTCTTTATAATTTGGAGTTTGTAAGCATGTGAGAAGAAATTGGTGAAAGCAGCAAGACAATTATGAGTATAGTTCAGGTTGGGCTTCAAAATACTAAGATTAGTGTAGTAAAGTATGACGATAAGATTAATTTTATTTTGTGGATGAGCGACGTACATGACGCTCTCAATGCTCAAAATTTAGAAGAGACAATCATGGTCCATGGGAGGCTACCATAATACGATGAGGCGATATGAGACAAGATGAATAGGAACGCTTGTGAGGTAATTATGTCTTGTTTGGAACAAGAACTAAAATATGATATGATTGGGGTGACATCTACGATGAAGATGTGGGAGATTCTTAACAACAAGTATCTTACGAAGAGTGTTGAGAATCGGTTACACTTGCTATGGAGATTATTCAGATTTCAGATGTCCAGGGGCACCTCACTTACGGTTCACGTGAACAACTATACAAAGTTGTCGTTAGACTTGGCAAACATAGATGAGAAGATAACGGATGAGTGCATAGCAATTTTTTGTTGGGCTCGTTATCCCGGTGAGGAGTATGATACATTCGTGCTCACTTTGTTGATTGGTAGATCTTCCATCACCTACAGTGAAGTGACTAATGTATTGATGAATTACGATTTGAGGAGGAATGACAAAGAAATTTCCCGAGCTAGCACTTAAGGAGAGGTCTTGTCGACGAGAGGAAGAAGTCTATATCCAAGAGGTGGCAATAGAGGTAGGTCAAAGTCATGAGGCCACCACCAATTAGAGAAGAACCAATGTGCATTCTACAAAGAACAAAGATATTAGAAGAGAGATTACCCGAAGCTCAAAGAGAAGGAGAATAGCAAGAAGAAGGGCCCGAAGGCCAATGAGGTGAACGACGTTAGAGGTGATGCTTCTGATGATTTGTGCTTTTCTCTATTGATTACTCAAGAGGTGAACCATATGGATGCATATGATTAGATTCTAGATTCTAGTGCTACTTATCATGTGACTCCTCAGCGAGATTGGTTTGCATCGTTCGAGAGACTCGATAGGGGCGTGGTAGTCATGGGAAATGACCAATCCTATAGCATGTGTGGGATAGGTACCGTCAGGATCTGAATGCACGATGGAGTTGTTCATGAACTGAATGAAGTGAGATTCGTTCCTCAGTTGAAGAAGAATCTTATTTTCATTAGAGTTTTGGAGGCGAAAGGATTCAAGGTGACATTTGAGAACGCTGTAGTGAATGTTACTAAGGGGTCTTTGGTGGTGATGAAGGGAGTCCGCAGTAGGAATTTGTATTATCTAGAGGGAAGCACCAAGATTGGCTAGGTAACTTTAGCTATTTTAAAGGCGGACATGAGCAGACTTTGATACTATAGGTTGGGGCACACAGGTAAAAAGTCACTGCAAGCTTTGTGCAAGCAGGGGCTATTGCAAGAGTGGAAAGATAGAATTCTGTGAGCACTACGTTCTTGGCAAGAAGACAAAAGTGAAGTTCAGGACAGCTATACACAGGACGACGTGCATCTTGGACTACGTGCACATGGGTATTTGGGGTCTCATCAAGATGGCATCACTTGGTGGTCGATATTGGTTCATCACTTTTGTAGATGATTATTCTAGGCATTGTTGAGTATACACCATGAAGCATAAAAATAAAGTTCTAGAATTATTTGTGGAGTGAAAGAGAAGGTTGGAACTGCAGATAGGGAGAAAGATCAAGACGTTATGATTTGACAGCGACGATGAGTACACTTCATACCCCTTTCAGCAGCTATGTCGAGATGAGGACATAGAGAGACACTTCACAGTTAGTCATACGCTGTAGAAGAATAGGGTGACGGAGAGATTAAATCGGTATTTACTGGAGAAGATCCGATGTTTGTTATTGCAGAGTGGTTTGGAGAAGATTTTTTGGGCTGAGGCACTTTCATATGCGAGTCATCTCATTAATAGGTTGCCTTCATCTGTAATTGAGGGAAAAACCCTATGGAGATGTGGTCGGGAGAGTCAGCATTAGATTATGATCAGCTTAAGATATTTAGATGCCCTGTATTTTATCATGTGAAGACTAATAAATTAGAACCTCGAGCTAGAAAGACCATATTTGTGGGATTCAAGAAATGAGTAGCTTTGGGATCTAGTTGATAAGTAGATTATGCAGAGTAAAGACGTCACATTCGATGATGCTTCTATCTTGAAACTTCCCAGCTCTTATCAGGTGGAGAACACCCCAATAGAGGAGATATCATAGGTGGTGGAGATTGATATAGCTCGAGATATCATAGGTGGTGGAGATTGATGTAGCTCGACATTTTCCAGATGGGACCATATCTATTAGAGTGTCAACTGAGGTGACGCCAGGTGAGCATGGTGATGATTTGGAGGATACAAGTACAGTTGAGCAGGATTAGGGACCGACGGCTTAGGTTTGGGATTCTATTACGGTTCAGAGGCGGAGGAGAGACTTACAGTTTCCAGCTAGGTATACGAATATAGTCATTACTTATGCACTTCCGTTAGAGAGTGTCGATGAGATGATTCCTACTACATTCAGATAGGCCGAACAGAGTTCGGAGGCTAATTTGTGGTAGGTGTCTATGTAGGAGGAGATGAAGTCTCTTCATAGGAACGACACATGGGAGCTTGTCAAGCTTCCAAAGGAACGGAAGGCTAATGATTGCAAGTGGGTGTATACAAAGAAGGAGGGCATTGAAGGTACTCCCGTGAGGTTCAAGGCTAGATTGGTTGCAAAGGAATATGCACAGGAGGAAGGTATTGACTACAATGAGGTCTTCTCTCCGATGGTGAAGTATTCTTCGATTCGAATTTTGCTAGCTTTGGTAGCACAATATGGTTTAGAATTAGATCAATTGGATGTGATAACAATATTTCTTCATGGTGT